ATGAACAAATTGAACAAATGTCATTTTACTGGGCATGTTAAGAAGCTCAAATTATCTTAGTTTTGACCAAGATCTTAAAGGCAAGACCCAAATTTGTCTTGTTTATACTGTCAAATATATGCTCAGCAGCCAGCACCAAGCTGTACATAATAGTCATTCCATTATCTACAGAAGAAATAGGAGGACGTAAATAAAACTATCCTAATGCAGTAAGAGAAATAAAATGGTAAAGATTCTGAGTCTTACAGGAAATTTTTCTGCAAATTGGAAACCATCACATAAAGTAGTAAAGTTAACTTACTCAAGTTAATATAGTTTAACCAAGAGTTGAGACTTCAATTCCTATATTTTTCCTTAAACATCATAAAAATAAAATCTATCAAAATATATCCATGTTATGGGATTGCACAGTAATGTGAATATACTTCACACTACTGAAATATATGCTTAAACTTAGAATGGTAAATTTGATGTGTACTTTACCACAATTAAAAAAATCAAAACTGGAACAAAAATATCCCTGTGACAAAAAAAATCCAAATTTAAATAATTACATATAATTTCTATTATATTTATAGATATTTCTACCAAAATAAAATCTGACTACATATGAAAATAAGACAATGAGTAAAACACTTAATTTTAAGTTAACAATTATTCAGAATCTTATGAAATAACCTTTTATAATAAGATTTTCTCTACCTTACCTACCATTAAAAGTAACTATGCAAAATGGCATAAGAATGAAACACAGTAATTTAACTTAGTTAGCCCAAATCCACTCTGGAATGAGGGGAAATTAACTAAGTTATTTTTATTGTGCTTCTATGTCAACAACAAAAATGAGCAGTGTGATAGTCATTATAACCATTCAAAAATAACCTAGTCTTCTCTTTTCCTGTGGATATTTTTGAAATCAGGGATAGCCATGTGATATGCTCCTTGAAATAAGAAAGGAAAAGATGAACATCTCCAAGAAAAAACTAGTTCTTTAGCACATTCTTTTTTCCCCCTCTACTATGGTGACTCTTAACATGTTAAAAACTGGCTATCCTCAGCTAGGATTCCAGAGCAAAGACAACAATGAGAACAGTGTTCCAGCAAGCCAGAAAGGACATACAGAGTAAGCAAAAATAAATCATTGTATTAAACCACTGAGATTGTGAGATATTGACATAGCACAGCACAGAATACATCCTAACTGAAAAAGAATCTAAATACTGAATATAAAGCACTGGTATAAAAAAGTAAAGTGGATTCCCACAAATGAAGAAAGGAAGGATGGGCAGGGGTGACAGGATTCTCCCCTTGTTCTCCACTTGCTCTGACACAAGGCTTCCATCAGAGTATAGATACCAGGGCATTACTCAAAGCCCTGCATGCCATAGAGCTCAGGCTAAGGGGCAAAACAAGTACTGCTACTATAGACAAGTTTGAAGAGCTGAGGGAAAGCTTTTTCTCCCCTTCCCCTTCCCACTTGCAGCCAAGTATTGAGGAAAACTAGACTCCTCTGAACACTAACTTTATTCTTTCAGCCATGTGAAGAAATCATCGTCTTGAGAAAATTTAACAATGTTTGTCAATGAAGTACCAGGGCCCATTCCTTGGCATTTTAAGTTCATCCGCTACCATACAAATTTGTAGCCTTATAGACAATTTCACCCAGAGTAGTTATTTAAGAATCAGTTATTCCTCCTACAGTCTCTTGTTTACTATTGCCTTCATGAAGACCAAAGGGGAGCTGAACTTTGAATAGGAACCAGCTTCCTGTTCAAATTAAGTGACCAAATTACAGGGCTCAAAATTGGGAAATTCATTAGCTTGTTTCATTTGTAACTTTTAGGACTATTATAAACAACAACAGAGTTGTGCCCTGGCTAATAGCAACTTAACCCCAAAGGGAAGTAGTGGACACCATAGGGCTTCATCCACTAAGAACAAGAGCCACTTTCCTGTACTTCATGAAAAGGCAGCTTTTGTTTGCTAAGCTATGCCTACAGACACCCTACAGAATGGCTTACTATTCCCCATCCTTGTTTACTGGAATTTCTTGGAGATCATCTTTAGAAGTAGTATATTAGTAAGAAGCACTCAATTTCTGACCATCATCAACTCCTGAGTGTGGGTCTCCTTGAGGTTTGATCCTTCCCCTGATATTTAGCATGATAACCTGCAGTGAGTATATTTATGAACTTGGACAAGATACTGTGCCATTCCTGTGCCCAGTGAGAAATATGGACATGTCTCTGATAAACAAGGAATCAGAGATATTCTTTTGCTGTAATTCTAGCTCCTGGTAGAATCTCTCCAATGAAAAACAGTTTAAGAGAACTTCTATAGCACAACACTAACCAAATAACATCACTTTTAGACTAATTGTATTTAGAACCAAATAATTATTTGTTGTGGCCACTATCCATGCAGCAAGTATAGCAGAATCCCTGGTCTTTACCCACTAGATGCTAACAGCATCACTTTCCTGTTCCCAACCTGTGACAATGAAAAGTGTCTTGAGATAGCACCTGAATGCCTTAGAGGTAGGGTGCAAAACCATACCAGGTGACTACTCTGCTAGAAGCTGGTTCCATTTCCAGCAGTTAGTATGACATTGACAAGAGGATATATACTAGGACCAAGATGCTCACCTCATCCCCACATGCTCCACTCCATTTGAGGCTGGTATAGAACTTGCCCTGAGATACCACTGGTAAACAGATTAACGAACTCTGCCCATAAGTTGAGAAGTTGGCCTGATTCCCAGCAAGTAGAAAACAACTGAACCTTGATTTTTTGCTTGATCTTCTTCCCATACCACACCATTCTCTCCTTCTAATACTTCCCTTTCACTTTTGACTTTCTCCTACAAGTAGAGACATGACTCAACTAACTCAGATGATTTATCTTACAAAACAAGATGTAAACCAACAGCAAACTGCTACTAACCTGACCTCCTGCCACCACCATCCCCACATAATGTAGACATGTTCTGGTGTTAACTGGAAAAATCTGAACTGGGTCCAATTCTCAGAAGTCTCTTTAGCTTGCCTAATTTACAGGGCCAATGGGGGCAGAAGCCCATATTCATAGATTGACCTCACGGACTAACTTATATTTTACCAAACCAGGAATATAGTCTGATCCTTAACCAAAGAAAAAAATTTAAAACAGGAAGGAAAAGATAAAAAGACTATACCTTTAATGTCAACTATAACTACATAAGTATCACACTCATAAACATAAAAACCCCACCACATTAAAAAACTATGTCTCATAAGCTACAGGGGAAGGACTATATCCTTGCTCTATTTCATGCCAAAGTAAGTTCCATATGAATCTACAATGAAGTATAAAAATGAAAACTTTAAAAGTTCTATAAGAACACATGTGGAACAATGCTTTAAAAACCTGGGTTGAAAAAAGTCTTTTATTTTTATTTTATTTTATTTTTCTGAGTTTCCCTCATAACAAATCTAATCATTTAATGTTGTTTAGAGTTCATTTTAAACATTCTGTAGAGAACATGATACAAATATTAAATTTAAAAAATCTCCATGGAATATATGCTATCATCCAATTTCATCCAATATTCATCTATAAAAATTAGAAGCTAGATTACATCATCTTTTAACAAACTTGCAAGTCAAATTGTCTTGTTCTTATTGTCACGGGACAGCATTTTATTATTTTTGTGTAGTTTTTCAGAAAAGTACTAGAAACATTGACAATTATTGTAGCCATTAATGCATATATTATCTGTATAAATTTCAAAATATATAGTTGGAAAGATGAAAGATAGTTGGTTGGAAAAGTTATCTTTGGCAGTTGTAAAACAGTAAATGGATTCAATTTATATCAGACATTAGGATGATATACATTTGGTTTATCACTTATAATTTTATAGGTCATATTTCCCTGACTTCCTAAATTTCCAAAAGGATAAAGAGGCAGGGAACACCTATAAAATCTGACCTATAAAATTGATTAATCGAAAGTCCTCCAAACATGTTTTAGAAATTCCACATTTTACTGTATTTCCATCTAAATATTTTCCCTTTTAAATTGAATAGGTATTTGATTGAATTAACCAGTGTGTACTGTCATGTAGGCCCAGACTGCATTTGAATGCTAGCAATAAAGAGCTTAAACATGCAACCACTTTCATTGACTATTAGTAAGAACAGAAATGAAATCTGACCACAAATACCCGAACTTTGGCTTCACTGGCTCAAAGTTGTCTTCATGTGTGCTTGCTCATGAAAAAAGTCTTTTAATCAATGCCCAAAGTTCATAAGTTATATTAGAACAAATTTCTTTGACCAAACTCTTATTCTTCTAAAAATTTAGCTGATTTTTGGACATATGAATAAAGAAATATGTTTAACATAATATCAAAATAAAGCAAACTCAACTGGAAAGGATCATCTGATGTCCACTGATGAAAACTGAATAAATAAATTATCTATACAACAGAATATAGTAAATAGTTATAAGAATGATTATAAAATTGGGTTGGGGTTGTGTTTCAGGGATAGAGCGCTTGCATAGCATGTGTGAGGCACTGGGTTTGACTCTCAGCACCGCATACAAATAAACCAAAAATAAAATAAAGGTCAACAGACAAGTAAAAATCAGACTACAAAAGATTTAAATGTGGTAGTATAAGTGGATCTATTGGATAATGTTATAAACAAAATGAGCTAAAGGAATACTGTAATGGCTTCTCTGTCATGAAAAAAAGAGTCACAGACAGGTTTTTGCTTTTATACACAGTAAGTATTTTTAGAGGGACACAAAAGAAATTTATATGCTTGTTTCTAGGAAGGAAGACAGATCTGGAAAGAAAGCAATCTTTCTTTCATTGTATATCCTTTTAAGTTTCTTAATTAGTTTTTAGATTATGCATAAAGTTCATCACAAAAAAGATCAAAAAGTAAAATTCAAAGAAAATGCATCAAAACAGAATAGCAAATGTCCTATATACTTAATTAGAGTATACTCACCTTTCCCGACAAAATTTAAGTGAATGTAGTATGGCAGGCCTTTTTTGACGTAAATTCCATAAGTGTAAGGTATCATCAGCCAAGACACTCACAAGAGCTCCCTTAAAAAAAAAAAGCATATTTTATACATAAATACATCTTATAAACATTAATGCAACCAAACATTTGCTAAAAAATATCTCATTCTTAAACTTCAAAACATTTGCTTCTAAGAAACATTTACCTCACCAAATTCTAACAGCAGATGTTGGAGTATACATACATCTGTATGGATGTCATTTAATGTTTGAACCTCAATAACTTCAAGTTTAACTTAATATCTTATGAAACAAAAGTGTAGTAGTAGTATATAGTAGGATACATGATTAAGACTTAGCTATTTAAAATTAGAGATTGGAATATAAAATTAGTTGGTGACTACAATAAATATTTTCTGGACTAACAGAGCAAAATATGATATAAAATGTCAAATGTTTCCTCTGATATAAAGAGGCTGATTCATAATGGGATAGGGAGAAGGGAAGAAGGGAGGAATAGATAAACTTAGGGTAGAGTCGCTGGAAAGGGAGGGAGGGGGTGTGGGGTTATAAATGATGGTGGATTGTTATTATCATTATTATCCAAAGTACATGTATAAGGACATGAATTTTTGTGAATATACTTTGTATACAACCAAATATGAAAAATTATGCTCTATATGTGTAATAAGAATTGTAATGCATTCTGCTGTCATATATAAATAAAAAAATTTATGGGAAAAAAGATAATTTCTTGTTTGTTGGGTTTTATTATTCAGGGTAACAAATGTTAAAGGGATTAAGGTTTGTATAATTCTCGTTACAAACAACTGTCACTTTAGGTTATTATACTACACTATGGATTCTAAATTTTTCTTAAAAGTTAAACTTGGTTAATATAAGTAGACTGGTGTAATTATGAAGCTACTACTGGTTTCTTTTACATTAGATGTATTCATGTCCCCCAAGAATACAAGTCTTTAAATAAAAGGTTTAGGAGAACACTTTACCATGCTGTTGTTCTACATCTAAAGTTGTCTGTAACACTGGTCTTTTGCAAACTTAAATTTTTATTTATGTCATTTGATGTTCTATAATTAGATAAAAATAATCTGTCATAAGTTGTAAAATTTTGTGTTACTCTTTACTTTGGGATGGGCACTTTAATACATTTTTGAAAGACAATAAGGAGAGACTGGTTTATTTAAAGGTTGACAATATGGGATATGAAGAAATTTTGCCACTTTCCCACAAAGGGGTTAAAAGCTCTCTTAGCCTGTTTGATTCATATTTCAGTTTAATGTGAAATTATGTTAACTGATTCATATAGGCCCAGGAAATGATATATGAAAATGTTGTCAAATAATATTTGAGGAAGAAATAAGGATCAGTTTCAGAAATAAAACACCTTACCTAAGATTTATCAAGAGGCCACCTCGAGTTAAAAAACTCTGCCTCTCACCTTATTCCATGTTAGGATAACCACTCAAGTTCATTTGAAGTAAATTAAAGAAATAGGCATTTTTATAAGGATTACTGTGATTTTATAATATATAGCTAAGTAAAGGTCTGGAATTGCAAAAAATATGTTTCTTGGTTCATAGCTATTATACAAACTAAAAATGTTTTTACTCTTGTAAAAAAAAACCCGCTAGTCCTTATTTTCATGGTTATATTCATTTATTTTGTATTAATATCATTCCAATACTCATGTCTTCTTGTTTCTCTGATAGAAGCACCCACCTCCCAGATGACTTTACAACCTGTTCTTTACAAACCAGACTTTTACCATAGACCCTTCAACTGACCCAAAACATTCCTAAAAGGGAAACCCAAACTGCTTGCCCCATGTCGCCCCCTGTCAGCCTGAAAGAGCCAGAGTTGTCATTGCCCATTTCCCCTTACAGCAGTAAGGGTTCCCTTACTCAAAGGGAAGAATAAGACCAAGACAGGGCTGGGGATGTGGCTCAAGCGGTAATGTGCTCGCCTGGCATGCGTGCGGCCCGGGTTCGATCCTCAGCACCACATACCAACAAAGATGTTGTGTCTGCCAAGAACTAAAAAATAAATATTAAAAATTCTCTCTCTCTGTTTCTCTGTCTCTCTCTCCTCTCTCACTCTCTCTTTAAAAAGAAAAAAAAAAAGACCAAGACAAAAGACAAGTAGTAGATTATATTTAATTAAAAGGAAAAAAAAAGGAAATGCAGTAGATAGCACTCCCCATCACCAATGCTTTGGCACAAAATATTTCAAGAGACTTCCAGGATCAACAGACTATTGATAATAAACTTGAAGCTAAGGTGAATGCCTTAGAGGCTATTGTAGTAGTCTTGGGTGATCAGATACAAAGTCTTAAGGTCAGACAACAATTATGATGCCGTGTCGTTTATTAGTTTATTTGTGTAACTAACACCTGTTGCATACTATATCTCCTAATGGGAATTGGGAAAAGATAAAAGATACATCTATTGTGAATTTGGAATCATAACAATGTGAATTTGTATCTTTTACAACTACACCGTTACATCCAAGTCATGCAAAAAAGTAAGATTCCTGTGTTATCTTCCACCAGTTTTACACAAAAAGCTGTTAGATGATTTGAATGGTTTCAATTATTAAAACATGCTAAAACATACTGCATGGTATCTCTTAGGACTTGTTTCCTTGCTCTTTATTCTGTGTTGTTTTCTCGTGGTCAGCTACAAGCTTGTTGGACAAGTTCTAGTTCCAATATTTCAGAGTAGACATGCATAGATTACATTTAAAAAGTAAAAAAGGGGGAGATGCAGAAAGTGGTGACTTATATCATGGTCTCTGACTGCCTTGTGGCTGTGACTATGGCTGTGCTTGTGCTGGGAATTTTTGCACAAAGTTGCAGGATATGATTGCCTAGTTGCTATAGTGATGCCCTGCCTGAGGAAGCTCTGTGCAAAGGCACAGAACTACATCAGTCTTAACTTTGAGCTCAGACACCTGTCATCAGTGAAAGAGAATTCTGAGCATAACAAGATAACCACAAGAGCCACCACATTCAAGTCTGTCTGCTTTGCAGAAACATTCCCACAAATAACCTTATTGATGATAAAACCTATATAAAAAATCTGCTGTACTAGCTCTGGGTCTTTGTTCTTCTATCAGAGCTTGGTGTACCAACTGGTCCCAGGTTTCTCCTTGTAAGTGTGTATGTCTTTAAACCCCACATTGCTCCTCACCAGTTTCTAAGATTGGGCTATGTAAGTCAAGGAAAAGTTAGATACCTTTTATATTAATTTCAAAAGATTTGCAATCCTAATCCTTTATGTTATTATGAGAAATCTTAAAGTCTCCCCATTTAAAATAGGAGTTTTTCATCCAATTCGGAATGATTAAAATAGCTGTCAAAATAAGATATACATCAAACCATATCTCCCAGTCCTTTCCACCTTCTAAATTCTGAGGGGTAACTCTTTTATATAGGTCCTATTGCTATAACATGACAATTGGAAAGCTATCTGACATACATAAAGTACACACTCTCCTTTTATTAGAAAGCATCATCTT